TTATTCTGGGCTGGAAATATCACAGATAGCAAAAAAATGGTCACAGAACCTTTCTGTGGCCACTCCTTGAGGCCAGTTAGAGGCATTCTAGATTTGGGCACCTGTTGTTATCTGTAGATAACTCATTATAGAAGGCAGCAAAATTCACAGCAAGGAGTGTCCTGGAGGTTGCTTCCAGTAGGGAGCTCTGTCCTGGTATGTCTGATCCTGTACTGAGACACAGAGAAAGTGCCCTTGGTGAACCTGAGTAGCACTGGTATCTCCAGGGAAGCTGAGCTGTAAGGAAATTGGGCTATGGATAGCAACACTCCTGAGCAGAGGTAACCCAGAGCTCCATGGTTTTCAGCATTCATCTGGCAGATGTTCTGTCTTACATATTCTGAAAGCTCTGTTCTATGACAGGAACCTTTCTCTGGTAATGTTGCTGATAAAATATATATCTCTTTGAGAGTTTTCTTATTTAAATGCAAAGATGTAACTGATTTTCAACTGCAAATATGGACAGAACTGTAAAAGCTGCAGAACTGAGTAGGTTTACAGGTGATGAGCTATGAATTTATGGGTTTTGCTCTCCACAGCCTGGCTTTGTCCTTTTCTCACTGCAGTTCTCCCTGAAATGGCTTTGCTGATGTGTCCAGTGTAGAATTCACTTACTGTGATCTTCACTTTTTAAGAACTCTTCAGTCCCTGCTCCTCTAATGACTTGGCTTCCTGAGAATCCATTGATTATAAAATATTTTAAAGCTGTTGAGTTTTTCTCTCAGTACATTCTCAGCTGTACTTTCAATGGACTTTAAACCTGAGGAGAAGGTCTGTTTAGAATCATAGAATCAACCTGCTTGGAAGAGACCTCCAAGATCATCGAGTCCAACCCTACCATTGTTACTAGACCATGGCACTAAGTGCCACATCCAGTCTCAGCGTGAAAACCTCCAGGGATGGTGAATCCACCACCTCCCTGGGCAGCACATTCCAATGTCTGAGCACTCTCTCTGTAAAAAATCTCTTCCTAATATCCAACCTAACCCTCCCCTGGCAGAGCTTGAGTCTGTGCCCTCTTGTCCTGCTGCTAGTTGCTTTTAGTGCAAGATGGAGGTTGAAATGTGCAGGAGAGTATTCTTATATACTTTCTTTTTGCTGCTGTCAGGCTCCTGAATGCAGATAAAACAGTTTTCAGTGGAGGAATAGATTGAGTTGATGGTTAGTTAAGGCATGCCGTGAGTTTTCTCTAAAGTGAAAGCCACTCTGCAAACAGAGTGCTTATCCTCTAGATTGCTGAGCACTGACAAAACCAGGCCCCAAAGACACCACATTACACTCAGCATTTGTTCAGCACCTGCTCACAGATGTGTCTGAATATTAAGAAGAACTGTGTACGATGCTCAACAGAATAAAAAGTGTTAGGATGTGTGTGAAGCAGCAGGAGGAAATATTGATATGAACATGTAGGAGGGGAAAGACTATTACAAGGGCAATCCAATTAATGCAAATGATGCATGCAGATGTCTGTGGCTTTTTAGTACCTTTACAGTTGTACTCCAGAAGAGCTGTGCACTAGGGACAAGGGAGGAGAACACAGTGTCTTCTTTGTGTGGCAGCAGTGTTTTCAAAGCTGAGCATCCCACTCCTGCCAGCAGATCAAGAGGGGACACCTTCCCTTCCCTGCCTGTGTAGCTGTGAAGTGTAAATAAGTGACAGTAAAACAGCTACTAAACCAAAGGGTACATTCATGAGGTAACTTAATCTTGCCTTCTGCAAACAGCAGTGTGTCTGTTGACTCCTGGTACTTCAGGGCAGCACTGTCACTGCTTTAAAATTCAAACAAGATAATTGAAAGAGAGCCCCAGGCTTTTGGGGCTGTATGCTAAGGGCTAGCCTGTGATTTATATTGGTATTGGCTTAACAGGACTGTTCACCTAAAGGAAGCAGGATTTGAGCTTGAAAATAGACATTCTTGCAGCTATATATTGATTGTTGGAGTTGGATCTAGTCCATTCTTATGACATACCTTCTGAAAAAAATGCTTCTGCTCTTATCTTGGCATCTGATATCTGGTGAATAATGACTTTAATTAAAAAGAAGGCCTGGCCACTTGGTCTTTTGGGTGAGATACATAGTGAACACAAATATAAAAAATGCTTCTGCTCTTATCTTGGCATCTGATATCTGGTGAATAATGACTTAAAAAGAAGAAAAGAAGGCCTGGCCACTTGGTCTTTCGGGTGAGATACATAGTGAACACAGATATGTGGCCTCAGCAGTGCCAAATTTTTGCTTTTTCTTTTTTCTTTTATAAAATTTCCTTCTCAAGAGACAGTCCAGGCTGTGTCCTTGCTCTCCTGAAGTCAATAGAAATTTTGTTGTTGACTCCAGTGAGTGCAGGACCACCACAGTAAACACTGTAAGAATCCAATGGAAATGTTTCCTGTTTACTCCATAGAGTTTTGCCTCAGGCTGTGGATCTAATGGACAGATAATTAAATACATATACTCCCTTAAATTAACAACCTCATATTACAAAATCTCTTCTGTCAGGACCCTGTGCCATCTGCTTATTATCTCCAAGCATTGTTATGTGAGGTGTTTATGAAATGAAGTGGCCAATTTACTTTCTCTTTTGTGTATTTGTTTTCCATATTGCCTTACAGAGAAGCTGCTGTCCTACAAGCTAGTGGCTGTTTCTTTTTTCCCATATTTATTATGATATGGGTATTTGCATGAAAATTCACAGTCTGCCAGTAAATGTATTGCAGTATCTCTGTAAGGTACTTTTATTTTGTCTTCAACATTTTGCCAACTTACTGTAAAATACCTCATGCGTTTTCTCTGCTGTAGCACATTTTGCTTAAAACTAGTGTAGCTTTATCCTCAGGAAAAAAACCTACCCCAAAAAAAATAAATCTCTGTATATGTAATTTTTTTTTACATGTTGAGTGCACAAGCAGAAGACTAAATTTCCATTTCAAGATTGAATATACATAATTTCTTGTCCATTGAGGTTGTTATGAATACAAATTTGGCAACAAAAGTCAGGCAGCCAAGTATTTTCAGAAGTATTTCAGCTGTGCTTGAAATACTTGTGAAACCAAAACACACAGAGCAAGGAACCTTGCCAAGTCAACCTTTAAAAAAGTTATATGTGTATATATTTGAATAGTTTTTTTTTGTTTCTCGTTGGCAACTCCCTTATAAACCTAAATTGCATTGCTAACTCTTTTTGAAGTTTATGATTTCCCCCTTCTTAATCAACTGATACAATTTTCTGCCCCAAGAATAAGGTGATCTTAATGCTTCATTTGTAAGGATTTGTCTGATATTAGTTAGTCACTGATACTATGAAAAAAACAAACCCAAAACCCCAACCAAGCAACAAAAATCCCCAAATCAAACCCCAAACAACAAACCCAAGAACAGGGCAAGCATGGAGTGAGTAGGAAACAGGATGATCCTTCAGGCTTACCACTTGGAGCATCATCTGTTCCTGAAGAGCTCTCTCCATTTCCCCTGCCTCTTTCCTCTCTGTGCCTTTGATATCAGTCACACCGACACCAAAATCTGTGCTGTTGTCTCTCCTCATATCAGGAGCCTGTACTGCTTTGATGGTGACTATTTTTATTATTCTCAGCATTGTCTCTCTGTTTAGCTCCCTTATGAAATAACTCACCCTGTTCTGTAGTGCTGTTAATTTACAAGGTGCTTTACAAACACAGATAAGAGCCATCCAAGGCTCCACTCTAAATAAGACGAGACAAATGCAAGATGAAGCACTTGAAGGCTGTTCAGGAAAGTGAGGACATGGAAATGATTTATCCAAAGAGGAGAAAGGGCTTGTGAAGTGGAATTTCTGAGAAAGGGTTTTAGGCATGACAGAAGAGAAGTTTGGCAGCAGAGGAAAAT